GCGCCAAGTTGAGAGCTACATGACTTTTAGATTCAAAGGTCAAATCCCCATTAAGTTGATGGGTGACCCAACTGACCCTAATTCTTTAGATGTCCGCTACGCATGCTCTAACAGAGACATGGAAAATAAGCGGCAAAAAATTCTGAAAATGGTTGAAACCTCGAAAAAACAAAAAATACAAGAAGTCATAGATGAGTATGCTCGTTATCAAGACTTGAAAGAACAGGCTAGTCGTAAAACTTGTGATTACATCCAAATCAGTAAATATAATAGGGAACTTAGGTCAGAACACAGTGGTGGGTGCAAAAAATGCCTCTTAAACTCACAGGCTAGAAAAATCAGAGTTGATCTATACCGTGTACCGTTTCCGTCTGAAGTTGAAGCCCAACAAGCAATTGTCTTTGATCTGGATTGTCCCAACGAAGTTCGTGTTTTGCGATCAGCAATTATGTTCTTCAAAACAGATGTTTTGAAATTCTGGGTCGCGAATCGAGAGAGTGGAGGTCGAGATATTTGGTCTGAACACAGAGATCTCCAAACTTATAAAAGTCCAAACTACCCTAGCTCTTTGTCTGGTCATATGACCTTGATGAGCTCACCTGAGTTCAACTACAACCCAAATCCCAGTCGTCCTGAGGATTCGCCATCAGGGGAACGTTTTATTATCGAAAACAAAAACCACTTAATTTTGGGCTACTATGGCCACTCACGCGAACATAGGTTTACTCTGATGCCGGTCAAAAAAACTGTTTCCGACTACATAAACAATTATAGGTTCTTGGAGGATCTTCGTATAAAGTGCCGGATGGCAGCGACTGGTATACACAAAGGTCTTCAATGGACAATCGATAGCAACTCGCACAGTGATAATGAAGTAATCTGCAGGCAGAGCGACTGTCCGGCCGAGCTATCCCTCAAGGAATTTCGTGTGTTCGGCTGTTGTAGGGCGGGAAGCCGAATTCAAATTCGAAACCTCATTGCAGCTTTAAAAAGCAACGCTCTCTCCTGGCATTGCGAAGGTGTGGTGTCGCTAGTTTCTCAGATTCTTTGGGAGACTGGAAGTCTCTTTTCAGACAATGAGAAGCTAAATCGGAACAAGAATGAATCAGTTATCAATCCAAATGAATATTTAGAAGATGATCAAGACAAAAGGACTCGATATCAACATGAAGATTTTGTAGACACAGAATTCGTTCTTGATACCCTGGCAGTTCTTAATGTTCAACTAGATGCTATCCAGGACAACTGGGACAAAAGTTTATCCCTTCTATGTTTAGTCATCTCTGGCTGTCGTTTGCTTGAGTTCTCGGAAAATAAATATGAAATTTCGTCTTTTCTGTTTCGGTGCCGACGAATTGGCTTAGACTGGAGCAGCAAAGTTAAACAAAAGATAGAGTTGCTCAAAATCACTGGCGTTGACGAATCTGATTTGAAAATGAAACTAGTCCAAATTAGTCTTACCGTGGCCTGTTCGTATCACGTGAGTGCTGAAAACGTAGAAACGATTCTCAATTGTCGAGGTCACGCTTTAAGCTGGCTTACAGCTCAAAACAACGTCTCCGACAACTTTATAATGCACAATATGACGGCTAGACTATGGCCCTTCATTAGGAATCTTGTACGAAAAAGTTGGATCGCAGGTCTTCAAGTGGAAACGAAATTAAAGTCACTACTAGATGTTAATTTGGAAACCATTCAGAGCTTCGTATCTGGACAATACAATTTTCTCACAATGTATGAACAAAGTGGAGCTGAATCAAATTGGACGCCAGTTCCACATGCTAACCCTTGGATGAAACAAGATCTGAATGAAGAAAACCACATCTGCATGCACATCCTCACTGGTGCTATTCTTATGAATAACGCTCCTGTTAAGCGTCTCCCAACCAATATAATTATGCACCCATGCTACCAACGTATTTTTGGATCTGCAAACTTGACCGTAGCTCCAAGTGATTACCCAGGTGGTTTTATAACTACAAATCAGATACATGAAGCTTGTTACGAGTTCTTGATGATTGACAGTCAAAAGCTCTTGATCACCAAAAAGACTTCCTCGAAAATACTGTATTACCTGCCTGAGAGCCTTCTTGAAAATCACTTGCCCTCTGAATTGGGTCAATTTGCTCACTGGTTGGAAGTCAAGAAGGTAAGAAATCGAAAGATTGAGTCGAAATCTATCGAGTTTTGGGGTCGGAATATTTTCGAGAATAAACTCTCCTCATATCAAATTTTGGATCATACACACTCATGGGAGCTGATTGATGATCACGAGGAATCTCGTATGATCAGCATGACTAGCCAAATTTTTAATAAACTGCAAAATTTGGTTTTTGACCGAATTGAAAAACGTGATCACGTGCACGTATTTCTACAGCCCAAAAACGGCACAATAACTATTTCACTGCCCAGGCACCGCATTTCATTTTCAATATCCGGCGACTACTCTCAAATTGATGCGTTTCAGTATCCTGGCTTTAAAGTAGCGAAATCTGGCTACCTGGGAACTTTGATTGGCTTTGAGAGTGGCATTGTCCTTGAATCCGGAACAGAAAAGAAAGTGATAATCCCCCATGGCGAAATCACTGAATCGCTCCATTCCGAGCATGTGCGAATTGAAGTGAACAAGAATTCGTTCCGTGACCCATCATTTTTCGTTTACAACGTGGACGACAACTTCAAACAACTTTCACCGCCACCTAGCGAGGTGGCGAATCTTTACCTTGCTATGCTCCATGTCAAAACAACTTACCCCCTGCCTGACCCCTTTACAAGATTGACAGGATTTGAAATGGGAATGCAAATTCTGAGCAAGGGAAGAAGCTATTCATGCACACCGCTAGATACAAGATCGGAAAAAATCTTGAGTGTGCTAGAAAAATGTTGTTGCGTAAGAGACTTCGTAACACACTCAAAACATGGTCCGTATGCCGAAGTTGAAAACTACCCAAAAATTCCCCCATATTCTATATGTACTTTAGAGTCTCTAAAATCTCAATGTGAAAGACTGCGAGCTCACAGTAACCAATTATGGTACATGTTTAATGACATACAAAAATCAAAAGAAACTCCGTCAATTTACTCAGAAAATTACCAAAATTTACCTGTTCTTGCAAAGCGAGCAATCCGAAATATCCATGACAAGGTTTACCCTCTGAATTTGAAGAACTCAAAACTCAAAGTTCTAGATGCATCCTACCTTGTGTATAATACACAAATCATTCTTAAAGACGAAACAGCTATTGAAAAAGTTCGAATCATAGCTTCGACACTACGCAGTCGAAAATCAGAACCCTTATATAATAACAGTTACTCGCTGAGTAATTGGGCAACTAGTTTAACAGGTATGGATGGCCTTGGAACATCAGATCTGGAGGATGATAGAAGCTTACAGGTTTGGAAAGGTCTAAACGGTACGAACTCTATGCTTGACCTCTATGAAGTGGCCCGCCAAGGAGATGAAACCAGATTCTTGCTGTTTGCTCTGACTTCTTTTCTGGCATACGAAAAGTTAATCGACTTCGAGTACTTGGCGTCATTTTTCGTGATCTCAGAGCACTTTGACATGTTTCAGGCACTTGACCCTCCTGGTTATGCGGAGTATGAGGACCTGCCACACACCACAATTGAAAAAGACGAAGTGAAAAGAATTGTTAGTGGCTGTTTTAAGAATAGAAATAAGTTTATCGCTGATCACCTGGAGCATAACTGCAGTAAGGATGAAATAAAGTGGGAAGCCGAAAAATATCACTCAGAGAAGCAAAAAGCAGAAAATTATTTCGATAAAACAAGAACTTCGGAAGAAAGCAAAGTAGTTGTCTTGTCAATGAAAGCGTGGCCCAACACCAAGTTTCAATTGTCTGGAAAATATGAATTACTGAAGAAAGATTGTGCTATCTTCGAACTTTCAGAATTGTTTTACAAGCGATATAATAACAAAAAGTTGTTCAAATTTCTGAAAAAAGTGGACTCTACTGTAGATTCTATTGTTAACGCTAGTTTGATCGAAACGAGCACAAATAAAATCCCTAAATTTGAAGCTGTTTTTGATCAGAAAGTGAAGTTCGCGAAAGGAGTCAATCTGGATCAAAAGTTCGACTTGGATATTGTTCCCGAAAACTTTGATGAGCTTATTCAGCCCTTTTTAATAAAAAACCATATCAATGGCGATGCTTGCTTCCTAAATGAAGACGAAAATATTATTGATATGATCGGAGGGTTTGAGGCTGACGATGCTGTTAGTCAAGATTTCAAAAACCGTTTAGAACAAAGTTGGAGTGCTTTCAAAAACAGAAGAAAGACAAGCCAACAAATTGAACCAGATACTCTAACGCTCGAAAAAAAATTTAAAATCGCGAGTGCAAAATTACTCAAAACAGAAGTTGCCCTTATGAGTATTTTGGTTCCGAAAAAAAATCAGTGGGTAAAATCAGCTTTGCATATATGCGGACTTGTGTTCAGAGAATCACCGTTGGAACTGGTCTCGTTTTTGCTAAGAAGGAAAAGACGACTGCAACTTCCGCAGGAGTATGATTGGCGAGACCTTTTAGGAGCGTTAGTAGTCCGGTGGACGGAAAAGCAACGGTTAGAAAGATGTCTGCAACACCTGAAGAACAGAAAAACTGTACTCTTGCAACGAGAGTGGAATAATGTGGGTCATACCAACTGGGTTCCTCAAGAGTTCGCAGAATGGCTGATCCTCGAAGCCGAAGGAAACTTCATGATACGACCTGCACAAGTTGAAACTGCTCAACATATGCTTGATCCTCCAGACAGCAAGAATGCAGTGATGCAGTTAAACATGGGTGAGGGCAAATCCAGCGTAATAGTGCCAATGTTGTTAGCTTCGATATCACGCAAAAAAGGATTTTGCCCGCAGGTCGTTGTTTTGAGCTCGCTGTACCCCACTAATTCTCAGTCTTTGTGCGCTAAAATGGGAGGTGTTCTTGATATGCGTCTTCTTAACCTGCCTTTCTGTAGAGACCTTGAGCTAAGCTGCGAGCGAATGAATCATCTTTCCAGTTATCTACGCGAACACAAAACACAACGAGGATTCATGGTCAGTACTCCTGAGCAAATGATGTCCATGCAACTTAAAGCTCTTGAGGTTTTCATCAAAGGCAAATGTGATCAAACTAATAGCTATCACTTTTTCTCGCAGATTTACCAGAAGATAGTTCGAAACATCCTAGACGAAAGCGATGACATTTTGTCGGTTAAACGACAGTTGGTTTACACCATGGGATCCCAAATTGCACTGGATGGAGGCGATCAACGCTGGATAGTTCTTCAGAGTATTTTCAGGAGCTTGAAAAAACATGCAAGCTCAATCTTTGAAATATGCGGTTCAGAGCATATTATGATTGAATCAGATACAAAGGATACTCAACATCAATTCAACGTTTTCCGTCTCCTTGACAAAGATTCGGAGTCATTTGCGGTAATCAGTGACTTGATTCTCGACGATTTTCTTGAATGCAGAACTGAATCCGATTTGAAACCGCTGACGGAAAAGCAAAAAACATTCGTCAAAAAATACATAATCGCAGAGGAACTGGAATTTAATCAGACTGAAAATTTGGGAGTTATCCTTGGTGATTTTGAAATTCCAAAGCTTGTGTTTCTACTTCGTGGATTATTTGGTCTAAAAACTCTGCAGCATTGTCTGACGTTGCGTCACCGAGTTAACTACGGAATTGGGAAGCACCGCAAAATGGCTGTTCCTTTTCGAGCGAAAGATGTAGCCGCGGATAAAACCGATTTTGGCCACCCGGATGTGGCGTTGGCGTTGACACAACTAACGTATTACTACCAAGGCATCTCGAGAGAAGGATTTGAAGCAGTTCTTCGTAAACTCGCCTTCATGGAAATAAGTGTGGCAACGGCCATTTATGCCAAGTGGGTCGATTTTTGTCACCCTGAACATCTGCCGCACAAACTGAAATTTTTCAGCTGCGTCAATTTATCAGACCAGAGTCAACTTCGTGATTTGTATGGACTATTTCACAAAAATGTTTTAGTAATTGACTACTGGCTTGTTAACATGGTCTACAATCAAGAGGCTAAACAGTTTCCACGTAAACTGTCGGCGACCGGCTGGGATTTATGCGGCGAAGAGGGTAACTTAGTCACTGGTTTCAGCGGCACCAATGAAACGCAACTGCTGCTGCCCCTGACAATTCAACAACGTGATTTGCCCTCTCTTCAAGAAACGAATGCTCTCGTTATACGAAACATGCTTCAACTTGAGAACCAATTTTACCGCGCTTTGAACCAAGGAGCGAGCGGAGAGAAAATTTTGGATTTCATTCTGGAACAAAGCGATGACAAAATCAAAGTCATTTTGGATCCCGGAGCTCTAATTTTTCTGGATAATAAGGCATTTGTGGAGCGTTGGATGTCAAAAGTGTCTGAAAAGGAGATTGAAGCTGCGATATATTTCGACGAAAAAGACAATCTGATCGTTCTCGATAGAAGGAAGTTTGTAACCCCATTTCACCTCTCGCCATTTGCCACAAAACTCGGATCCTGCATTGTATACATGGATGATATTCACACTCGAGGAACTGATTTGCAATTCCCAAGTGCGACGAAGGCGGCAGTTACTCTCGGAAAAGGGCTGTCGAAGGACAAGTTATCCCAAGCGTGTATGCGGATGCGGTTGCTGGGTTGCGGGCATAGCCTTTCTTTCTTCGCATCCTATGAAGTGGACCTCGAGATTCAGTCTCAGAGTCGAGGCCTGTCTAGTGATATATCAGAAGTTGGTAAAGTGATTTCGTGGGCGTTCAAAAATAGTCACAAACAAGTCCAAGACGGGTTAGCTCACTGGGCTAATCAGGGATCGGACCAGCTACGGAAACTGTCCGCGTACGATCGGCACATTCTAAGCGAAGCCAATGGCCAATCACTTGAAGAATTTTGCCGAAAATGTAGTCCAAAAAGAAGTTGCTGAGTTGAAAAAACTGTACGGCACCTACAGGGAAAAAACAACTCTGTCAAAAATAGTTTCGGATCGTATTCAGAGTTTTCTTGGCCCGCGTGGACCCTCTAGTGATAACTGCAGACATTTCAGAGTCAGTCTCTTAGATAAATGCAAAGAGCTGGCTTCGGAGAGAGAAATTTTTGCGGATCTGTTCGACGAGGAGCAAGAACGAGAGTTGGAGGCCGAACAACAACAAAGTCGGCAGGTCGTTAGACCAGGTCAGTCTAGGCAGGGGTGCATTTAAGGAAGTCAACCCACCAGCCAGGCATTCGGTCCCTGGTCACTCAAAGAGCCCCTTTTGGTACTGTTTCGCCAGATTTAGTTCTGGTCGACCAACGCTGACATTTTTCTAAAAAGTTCCTTTGGGCGCCAATACTTTTTAAACTTTGAGGGGGGATACAAACTAAATGGGGGCGGGGGTTTCAGCTTTGCTAATATTATTAGAGATATATTAAATATTATTATTATTATGATTATTATTATTATTATTAAAATATAAAAAAAAAGAATTTTTTTTATCAAACTGAAGATTTTGTAATGATTTCTTTATTTAAAATTTTGTGCAAGTGGGGGAACAATTAAAAGGTAGATAAAAAGTAGAGCTTTGAGCTGCTATAAAATGTGATGTTGGCTGTGGCCAGGACATTTTGTGTCACCTGCTCAGTAACTGGCTTATATAGACTATACTAGCCGGTTGTTCACCGATTAGTTTAAGTAATATATATTTTTTAAAATTTTTAATTTGTCAGGGCGAAGGAGGTCAGTAACACCCGAAGTTCCCGACTGTGTGAGAAAACTTGCAGAAAGCGCGCATTTTCAACTGAAAGAGTTTCTCTGCTTACAAGAGTGTCTAAAGCAGACAATTGTTAAACCAAAGATTCTTAGCGCGTTCAAAAATGTCTTTGCCAGCCCGGAGTTCCCCAAAGTAACCACGGATATCAGGTACAACAGGATTTCAATTTTGAAACTTTTAAATCTTAAATATACTCAGTTAGACCATACTTCATTATTGCAACAAAATGCTTCTTGTAATGACCATGGGGGGACGATTGAGAATTATGAAAAGATTCAAAATTGAACAGATGAAAAGTAATTCAAAAGAGCAAACTTTCTAATTCGACAAATTTTTGCTTCCCATTTTGAGGTTTTGGACAATCTTGGGACACATTACGAAGCCAAAATGTGCATTCTTGCATTGCAGGCGGATTCCGCAACAGGACGAAATCAGATTTGGCGGGGAATACGCAACATTGCCATTTTTCTTTGATCTTCTTTGCTGTTTTGGATTCCACAAACCAATATCTAAAAGACTGTACCGCTCAAAATAGGTGCAAGAATAGGCGAATTTGCGGAATCCGCAACCGTATTTGGGGATTCCAGAACAATTTGTAAAGCCATAAAACATGCATATAATTAAATTGGGCTGTTGCGGAATCCGCAACTGTAAGCGGAATCCGCAAAGTGTAACTGGAATTAGCAAATTGTAAGTGAATTCCGCATTTTGTATGCGGATTCCAATTACATATATGTATATATGTAGTAGCGGTTAAATTTATATCTTTTAATTACTAGGTGGTCACCAGCATGTTCAATCTCAATTACTAAGTTACTGCGATCATCAGCTACCTGTTGAAATGCCTAATGTTTGATCTCAATTTCTGTCAAACACCCAGCTTCAGTATTTGGGATTGGTGGAATCCCAAATACTGGCCAGTAATTGGGATCGATGGAATCCCAAGTGCGGTCTTAAATTGGTGATATGCGGTGCGCTGTGTTTCTAAACACTCTGAACCCAATGACTCCAAATAATGAAATTATTCGGTGTTGTGTCTCCGAAACTATGGCTTCAAAAACTGTTTGCTTGGATATGTAATCTAAATACCAAAAGATGACATCCACCGATTTAATCATACCAATGTTATAAGAGTTGTTTGTGAATTCCACTGACAATGGTTAAGTCCTTGCTTTTAAATTCCTCATTGCTAAAGATAAGAACTCCTGCTCTAGCTTTTAATTGTTCATATGAAAGTTCAGTAAAAAACAAAATTTGGATTCGACTATAATTTGCGGATTCCACTTACATTTTGCGGAATCCTATTATAGTTGCGGAATCGAGAACAAATAGCTATATTTCCTTGTTGCGGAATCCAGAATACAACACATATGCCGACAAAAATTAGGTTACTTTTGATTGTACGCGGAATCCACAAAAAATTTTGTTAGTGGAATCCATTTACACTTTAGGAATATGTCTAAGAATTAGTTTCTGGAATCCCGGAACATAGAGACACAAAATTGTGCGCCTATCCAAAGCACAGTTTGGCCTCGTGATGCATTAATTCTAGCTGAAAATAGCAAAAGCAAGTGAGTTTTTCCAAAACAAATTACCTGCTTTTTTAAACTATTTCTTTGTTCCTCTTAATGCTGCTTGTACAGGGTGTTTTCAGAACACTTTTCATTGAATCCTCTCTCATTTCACAAAGATTTAGGTTATTCTTTTGCAAGAGGTGGCAAAATGTTGCCAAGTTTTGACGATATGTTTCAATAAGTTGGGTTGTTCTGCATGTTTTATCGTTTTTATCGAGTTTTCTCTGCATTTTGTGTTAAAAAACTTTCTACAGCACTCAATTAAAAAAACCGGATGAAAAGAAGTTTAACATATTCACACTCATTTCTTTCTCTCAAATTGGGTTAAACGTGGACAAAAAAATGGCGATGTTCAGAAAAGTTTGGGACTTCACCAGCATTTTTGGGGCAATTTTTATCACAAATTTCCCCTTATAAAATTTAAAATTACTACCTTAAAAAGGGCAATTCATTTGGTTTAATTTTAAAAAGAACAATAGGCTCACTTGCTGTTACTCTTATTTGAACTGAGCTTTTTCGTTTCAAAGTGTTACACCAATTGAACCCAATTCAAAGGTGTATTTGTGGTTTGAAATTTTAAAACAAAGTTACCGCCAAAAGTTCTGGTAAAATTACAACTCTTTTTGACCTGATACTTTTTTGTTCTAAGTAATTTAAAATTGAAAGAAATGAATTTGAAAATGTTGTCCTAATTCATTTTATCTGGTGTTTTAAATCAATAATACTGAAGTTTGTTCAGCTGGAAATCTAGTGAAAATTCGATTAGAATCGGAAATCATGCGTGAACTAAAAATCAAGCTAAATGAAATAAACCATCAAAATTCAACAAATTTATGATGCCTACAGTTTAAAGAACGGCTTCAAAACTTAAACATTATTGAAATTCGAGAAGATTAATCAAAAACGTGGTTGAAACCAACCTATAGTTAGTAGCAAAAAATGTTGACAAACGAAATCAATTAGGAAGAGCAATTGACCTAGTTCAGAAAAAATTGGCTCTCAAAACTTAAAGGTTTTGACCACATTTGTGTCTAACGGTTATCTGAAACAACAAAATTGCCAGCAAAACTCTGTCAAAATGGGTGGAAAGATATCTCTTCTTATTTAATTTTGAATCTCCGAACTTTTTCTATAATATATTTTGATTGAACAGTAGATTTTGATAAGAACAGTGAAGCGAGTATTAAAAAAAAACAGTTTTTTCGAATCAAGATAAAAGATTCAACTTGTGATCATCATTTCAAGTGGGTTCAATTTATTTGTTGTTTCTGGCAACTAAATTAAATGAGATTAATTTTTCATTAAATTTTCATCAAGCAAATAAAAAATTTAAGATTTTTCTTGATTGTGGTGAAATATATAAAATTAAATCGAAATCCGCTTTACCAAAACTTAAAAAAAGTAGCTTGGTGAGCGGCGGTGAAGTTGTCACGGCAAAAATTGAAACGTCGTAATGTTCGAGGCCCACCATGATCCATGCTCTTTGATTGACGTGAGGCAATATTACTCAGTCCAGAAAAATAGCCGAAAAAAAACTGTATGTAAATCTTAGCCAGGCGTACAACAGCGGTTGTCTGTGAAGAGCTGAACAGTTTGTATGTTGGTTCTTTTCTTTGTGGATAAATCGTCTTAGTTTAATCACAAACAGCAAATCAACTTGATTGAATAAGTTACTAAATCTGCAAAAGTGTGATATTTGTAGGTACACCCCGAAGAAGCTGAAAGAAACTATCACCTATTCGGGCAGAAAAAAAAAACAACTGTATTAGTATCAACGAAATTATACAAACAGCCAACGATTTTTGTTTTTTTTCATGTTTTTGTAATTGATCTGATAAAAATTTGATAGACATTTTTTAGGAGCATTAAAATAACTGAGTAAATAACCGGCAAATAAAAACGTCAGTCCCTCCTACCTGTTCATGAGTAATTTGAACACATTTTTTTGCGTTTTTTTGTTCCTCCAACTTAAACTTCTACAGAAACAGAAGCTCGGGTATCAGAGCTGGAATCTTTGAATTCAAAATAACAGTTTACAAATTGTTATTTGTTTTTTTTTTCTAAACCAAATTCATGTCTCACGGTAATCAAACTTTTGGTAACTGAGGAAATTTTAACTTGAAGATTTTCAAATCAGCAGTCTTTTACCGTTCAAAGTCAAGAATTTTAACTGAGCTCGGCCAACGATTCACTAGTTTTCACCATATTTGGTTTCAGGAAACTTATATATTTAAACTCACAATATTGTAAGATTGTATAGTTTGTACGTCAAAATTTTTAATCAGAAATACAAAATTCAATGTAATCACAGAGTGCATGGCATGACATAATAAAGAAAAATATTTCCCATCCCTTCCGGATATTAGCGTTTCTTGAAACATGCGATGCTTGCATTTTTTTTCTCATAAGTATCTGAATCTAGTCTAGACAAGAAATAACAAAAATATGCAACCAAAGACACCCAAAAGTTGCCAAGCTGCAAAATTTATGCAACTAACGAAAGTTTTTTGAAAACTACTGTTTATAAACAACAAGCAAAGTCGAAAAATTTTCTACAAAACAGTTTTGGCAAGACACGAGCGATCAATTTTGACGCTTTTTTTATTTGGTCCGACCATTGAAAATGGGTACAAACTTTGTATTCGGGTGTGTTTTAGTTTTTTTTCTTTTTGTCTTTTTTTTCTATGGAAAGTCAGGTACCACAAATTATCGTCGGATTGAATTGAGTGACACAAGGCACGACCTAATATGCTTGCGCGAGGTAGATAACGCAATCAAAATGCCTCAAGATAGCGCATGCTTGTGAACTAGGATTCTTACAACTCATGCACGAAATTGTCAGGCAAAAAACTGTGGACGATCAACCTGTTCTGTAAATTTGCAGAGATTATAGCCTTCTTTAGCTACTTTTGTCTTAGGATGATGCTAAATTTGTCCGGATATGGGCAAAAAATTTTACACAAGTATTTACTGATCAGACAAATTAAGCCAAAATCGATCCGTCTTCTTGTTACTCAAACTCCAAAACAGATTCTAAATCGCGTTTTTTCTTGAAAAATTTGATGCAGTTTTGTCATGGTTCAATTTTGCGTATACGCAAAAACCATGACAAACTTTCATCGAATAGTGCAAGAAATAATGCGATTTAGTATCTATTTTGGAGCTTGAGCAAAAAGTAGACGGGTCGTTTTTGGCTTTATTAGTTCTATCGGTTAATGGTGTAAGCAAAAAAAAAGTTTTTTACCCTGAACTTGCTTATTCGTATAAAAGCACAACTTCTAAGACGCATATATCAGGGCGCTCAGTTATCTGCTTTTGGTTATAACGTAAAGAGGATAAATGAGCTCCTGGATCCATGCTTCTTAGAACTGATGCTTTGATATTTTAGTTATAACCAAAAGATGATAACTGAGCTCTTGGATCCGTGCGTCTTAGAAATGATGCTTTGATATTTTGTTTATTACCAACAAATGATAATGAGCACCTGGATCTTTATCGGGTTTAACAACCTCCCCCTTTCTAGAAGGGGGGAGGAGATTGTTAAGTAGAATTAGCTGGCCATATATCTGTTACTA